GGAGAAAGATGTGGCAGTGTGCTTCTGTAAAGATTTGTAGCCTTGGAAACCCTATAGGGCAGTTCTACTCTGTCCCATAGGGCTGCTATGCGTCAGAACTGACTTGACTGCAGTGGGTTTGGTTTTTTGGTTTAAAAGGATACACTGGTGGGAGTTGGGGCTAGAGAATTGGCAGCACCAAATCATTTATCCAATTCATTTGTTCAACATTTTGCGAGCTAAGTGCACTTTACGAGGTGCTGAGGATACAAGAGTAAACAAAGCAGACACAAATCCCCATCTTCGGAGAGGTTACAGTCCAGGGGCAGAGACATTAAATAAATAGTCTGGTAGAAGATGACAAACCTGGGTCTGAATTCCAGTTCTGCCATGCACGGCTGTATGACTTTGGGCAAGTAACCCAACTGTTCTGTGCCATCTCTAGAAAGGAGATACCAATGCCCACTCAGGACTGACATACGGGTTCCCGCTAATGCCAGGAAAAGCCTCAGTACAGCACTTGGCAGGAGGCACTGAATGACAGGGGCACTGGATGAGTGACGGTGGCCGTGGTAGGAATTGTTGTTGGTGTTAGGAGGCAAGAGGAACACTGGGTCTTTGAGAAGGTGCCCAGGTCTGCTACACTGAGTTATATTTTGAAAAAAGCACTGTTCTCTTCTCCCTGTGAGTTATTGCCCACAAAGTGTGCTTGGTTTTTTTTTTTTTTTTTTTGAGGATACCTGGCTTTAAAAAAAAAATTGTGGTTAAATCTAAAATTTGATTAAGATGTCATTTGAAGTGTACAATTTAGTGGTATTAATTATAGTTATGATGTTGTGCCACTATCATCACTATTCATTTCTAAAACTTTTTCATCACCCCCAGCAGAGACTCTTCATACCCATTAAACAGAGGCTCCCCTCTCCCGACCTCCACCCCCATCCAGCCCCTGGTAACCTCTGATCTACTTTTTGTCTCTAAGCATTTGCCTCTTCCAGGTATTTCATAGAAGCGATATCATAGAATGTTTGTCTTTTTGAGTCTGGCTTATTTCATTTAGCATAATATTTTTAAGGTTCAGCCACGTCATGACATGTATCAGAACTTTATTTCTCGTCATGACTGAATAATGTTCATAAAGTGTGTTTTCTAAGGCTAAAACTTCAGGTGCTGGGGCTGATGAGCCATGGGTCTAAGACTCAGCGGGGAAGGTAAATGGCTCCAGCAGATGACGGGATGGAGAAAGTGAGAAGGTTGTGGCTGCAAGCATCTTGAGTCACAAGCCTGTTCCAGTTAGAGGAGACTCAGGCAGTCTGCAGGGGATCTGTCCGCAGGGCCTGTGAGCAGGACCCGGAGCCAAACTAGGGTGTGCCTTCCAGTGTCAAGAAACTGTGAACTGCCTTCCCCGAAGGGTCATGCCTCAAGGTTTTCTTTCTTTCTTTCTTTTTTTAAATAATATTTTTTCATGTTTTTGGTGAAGGTTTACACAGCAGTTTCGGCTCCCATTCAATAATTTCTACACAAGTTGTTCAGTGACATTGGTTACATTCTTCACAATGGGTGAACATTCTCATTATTTCTGTTCTGGTTGTTCCATTTCCATTAATCTAGTTTCCCTGCCCCCTTACATTCTCATCTTTGTTTTAAAGTAATTGTTGTCCATTTGGTCTCATATAGGTGATTTTTTTAAAGAAACACAGTATTTACAGGTGATATTCATTATTTTTGTGAGCCAGTTTGTTATTTAGCTACAAGGTGACCTCATGGGTTGGTTTCGGTTCAAGGTTTGAAAAGTGTCTCAGGGCAATAGTCTCGGGGAGTCTCCAGTCTCAACAAGTCCAATAGGTCTATTTGTTGTTGTTGTTGTTTGTTTGTTTTTAGGAATTTGAGGTTCTGTTCCACATTTTTCTCCCATTCTATCAGGGTCCATCTATTGTGGGCCTGATTAGAATGGTCAGTAGTGGTAGCTGGGCACCATCTAGTTCTTCTGGTATCAGTGTAAATGAGGCTATGGTTCATGTAGACTATTTTCCTGTAGACTAGTTTCTTCTTTGAGTCTTTGGTTTCTTCCTTTCTCTTTTGCCCTGGAGGAGTAGAGACTAATAGCCCCAAGGGTTTCTTGATAAGCTTTGAGAGGCAGGGACCTGAAATTTGTCCGAGAGAAGTAAGTGTTCGACCAAAACAAGAGGTTTTTGCACAGACAGAGCTCAGCACCAGGAGAAACTGTCACGCCATCCATGATTCTCTCAACATAGCCTTGCAAATAAGTCCCTAGACTTAGCAGCTTCCTCCTGTTTTATATGACATTAGGCGAATGTGCTCATCGTTGGGCAAAAAAGCAGCAGATGCGTCTGCACCCAGACAGTTGAGAGGCACTCAGGTAAGGTGGAAAATACCCTGGGCTGGACTCGGAGGCTTGTTCAGAATCCTGGAGCTCTCCACTACAATTGAACTCACCAAGCTCTAGGGGCAGGGATACACTGACTGACTGGAGGAGGTTGGACCAAAACCAAACCTATTGCTGTTGAGTCGATTCCAACTCATAGTGACCCGATAGGACAGAGTAGAACTGCCCCATACAGTTTCCAAGGCTATAAATTTTTACAGAAGCAGACTGCCACATCTTTCTCCTGCAGAGCGGCTGGTGGATTTGAACCGCTGACTATTCAGTTAGCAGCTAAGTGCTTAACCACTGCACCACCAGAGCTCCTTGGGGTTGGACCACATCCCTCCAATCCTTTGAGCTTTTGGGAAATTGGCAGCTGAGGCCACCATTTTCTTCCTTCAAGGGGGCCCAAGTGTCAGGGGATAATGAATACGTCCAAGAACAATTCCATGCTGGAGTCCAGGTCTCTCTCCCTGGACTGAAGAACGACAGTGGTAATAAGAACTGTGGTAACGGCAGTTAGCAGGCATCAAGATCCCACTGTTCTGTGTGCCAAGTACTTCCCAAGCACTGTTACCTTTCCTCCTCCCAGCTACCCAGAGGGGCAACTGTGGCTATTGCCCCCACTGGACAGAGAAGGAGATTGAGGCTCGGAGAGGTGTAGTCACAAGACTGGAACCAGGTCTGACTGACTCCAAGGCCCAAGCTTGGGAAGCACAGTTGGACGACCAGCTGCCCCATACATGTCCCCTCCGGGACAACCATGATGGTGACCGTCAATACCACTTCCCTGTGGCCCACTGGGGTAGTAAAGTTCAATCACCTGTCTCAGCAAAGCTCTTCCTGAATCCCCTGGGAGAGGAGGGTCTGTCTGGAGAGGTGCTAGCTGGTGGTCTTTGGGTCTGAGAGCCTCTCAAAGGGAAAAATCTGAGCCTTGGCTCTTTCCTGCTACCCCGGCAGGTTTTCAGCCTCTCACTCCACACGAAGAAACACAGTCAGGGCCTGTGGCTTCTGGGCTGCAGGGGAAATGCTTTCCTCCAGGCGTGTCCCCTCCCTCAGGGCCTGACCCGGTTGTGTTTGATCCACCACTCCAGAGCACGTTCACTCCTGGCTGTGGGGGCCCTTACCAGGAGCGCTGGCTGCTTCCCAGAGCACTCACTAGGCTAGGGGATTTCCTCAGCTTGGCCCCTTCTGCCACCGCGCAGCCAGGACTGGTGAGAGAGAGAAAGAAAAGGAGGTGGCCCCCAGGCTCGGCTGTGGAAGAAAACCCCTAGACCGGGCTGTGGAAGGAGGCCCGTGGCTGTGAAGACGTCTTTGTCCAGCTCAGATCTGTGTTCTCAGAGCACCGCAGGGCCACAGTCCCCCAGCTCCACTTGCCTGGGGCAATGGAGGGTTGGTTCCAGGGTCCGCAGCCCCACACCCCTGAAGGTGTCAACCGTACTTTATTGATGTCTGTTCTGTCCACCCCTGGATGCTAATCAATAATAATATAATTGAGTCAGAGCATGTTCGTCTTTGTGCCCTTCCCACACCCTCCCCCAACTCCTCGGCACCACCAGACCTGTCTTCTGGGACCACTGAGACAGGGAGGAGTGGCTAGGGTCCCGGAAATTCCCAGATCTTGTGAAGACAAAGTGGCTCCAGGCAGGTCGGCGGGCTCAGAGCCAGTTCTGGTCCTGCCCAGTGTGGCAGGCCGTGACTTGGACATCACTTCTGAGTTATGGAAAAATAATCTAAAAGGGACCCTGGCTGGGCTTCCACAGGCTCTGCCTCGAAGGAGTGACTTTGCATTTCCAAAGGGACTTGGGAGAATGATCCCCCCGTTGTTATCATTTGTGAGAAGTGACCCTTCTATGAGGCAAGTTGTTTCAAAACAAGGGTGGTGAGTGTGTGTCTGCGTGTGCGTGTTTTCTGGGGGGCGTGGGGGATCTTCTCCACCCAGCCCTCCCCTCCAGCAAAACCAGCTGCTAAAGTTAGTTACCCACTCATCCGAGCTTATTCTTCTTTTAATCCCAACAGCAAGCACTTTTGAAGTGCCTGCTTTGCTCAGAAATCCTGGGTTCAAGTCCTGGTTGAACCTTTGTGTCTCCATCTGAAAAATGGAGCTGATGATATGTGCCCCACAGGAAGTTCACGAGACTCAAGAGAGATCATGTATGTTGAAATCCTCTGTAAAGTAACATGTGTTCCCATCAGTCATTTAGTAGGTATTTGCCTGGCACCTACTGTGTGCACAGAAGGGATTAACCATTTGTCTTATTATAATTTCCACGGTCAGACTCCACAAAGGTAGGTATCTAAGCCACGCCCTGCTTCCCTACCTCCGGCTGGTGAAGCCAGTAGTCTCCCTGGCTTTCACTTACTTACTTACCAGTTGCCATTGAGTTTATTCCAACTCACGGTGACCCCATATGTGTCAGAGTAGAACTATGTTGCCCTGGGTTTCCAATGGCTGGATTTTTCAGACGTAGATGGCTAGGCCTTTCTTCCAAGATACCTCTGGGTGGACTCAAACCCTCAACCTTTCAGTTAGCAGCCAAGTATGGTAACCATTTACACCACCCAGGGATGCCTTGGCTAGTTCCAGAAAGGAGTTTTCTGAAGACCTTTCCTTCTTCTCTGTGCCTCTGCTAAGCTTTCCCAGGAAGTGTGCCTTTTTGGATCGGGACACAGGACAGTGCTTAATGCCGCTGTTCACCTGCCTGCGTCTGCATGGCATCACCAGAGGTAAGTCCCAGCCAGGGCGAGTGTGTCCACGGGGAAGCCATCTGGGACCTCCCCCACCCCGCAGCTACTCCCGGGGGAGCCCCACCAGATGTTTCCAAAGGGAGTGAGCACTAAGCCGAGATGGGTGCTGTCACTTGCAGCTGTGAGACTTGGGGAAAGTCACATAGCCTCTCAGTCTCGGTTTCCTTGTCTATAAAATGGGAACAATTAGGGCTTCCGTGAAATAAGACGATGGATGGAAGGGGCTGATGCGGTGAGAAGCAGAACAGAGTTGCCAATGGTTGTTTGATTGCCATCTAGCAGCTTGCCCGCCTAGTGGTTTGGGAGACAACTCGGGGTCTGTGCTGCAGACACAGGCTGTGTTCCCTCAACCTCATGCTCTGGGCACTGGGAAGGCAACTGTGACCTGGAAAGAGGAGGGAATATTGGGGGAGTGTGTTTGGGGCAGCCCAGGAGACCACCAGTGAGATCTTTGTGTTTACTAGATATTCAAGACCTTCTTTAAAACCATTTTGGCTTTCCAAACACAACGAATAGGTCTGGAACCCAGGGATGGTCAATGGAGCCAGGTAGTTTTTTCCAAGTTGCTTCTAGACATTCTGAATCTCCAGTCTCACACCTCCGTTTCCAGGCAGGACTTACACCCAGGAAGTCGTGGGCGCTTTGGAGGAAAGTGCTCTGTCATGTTCCGCTAGGGTTCCAGGCACCTTAGCAATTCTCCTGGCTTGGGGGCTTCCTGGAGGAAACTGTGGGAAGAAAAATAAAAGCAAAAGCAATTCTTTTTTGTCACATTAAAAAAAAAAAAAATTGAAAACTGGACCAATGCACACCTCCTTTTTTCTTAGTAACAATTTTCCCCCCATAAAATTGGTAGAACTTAACTGTCTTTGTGGAGCGTGGTCGATGAGTCAAAGCTGACCTTTAAGGGCTATCAAGACTTCTCCTTGAACAATAGTTCACTTGCACCCTCCAGGGGTCACTGGGTGGTGGTGGTATCTTCTTGTAGGACTATTGGGAATATGTTTCTTTCAAAATGCAATATTATACTTAAAAATACTAATATGTAGCATAGACAATTCGCAGTTTGGAGTGAATTCATTCATTCATTGCATGGGAAATTTATGTGTACATTTTTTAAATTATGGTGAAATACATTTAACAAAACATTTGCCATTTTAGCCATTTTTACACATTAATTACGTTATTGTATTGTGCAACCATCACCCCCATCTGTTTCCAAATCGTGTGTATACATTTTTTTAAAGAGAATAGTTTGGGGTACAAAAGCAATTGACTCTGAACACAACCACCGTGTTTCTGTGGTGTTTTCTTTTTGTTTTATCAAACTGGGACTTTTCCTTTCAACCTGCATCTCCTCACTTCCTCCTTTCTCTAAATGTGATTTTTGAGGTTCTATTATGAGTAAAACCTTCAAAGCATTCTCTCTGTGTGTCTTCCAAGGCAAGGATCTGGAGGAGATAAGGCACATTAACTTCTTCCCAGAGGCCTGGCTGATGCGCATCACAGCCAACCACTATCACGCAGTGAGTTGCCTGCACAGAGAGGACACCACTCTCCAAATGTATTGGCTTTCTGAGTTGGCTTTCTTTGGCTGTGTCTTTCATTTGAAACCTCTGGGACCTCGAGGTCAGGACATATCCAGATCCTCCTTTGGGGGACGTGGGGACGACCAGGCAGGGGAGGAGGGAGGAGGCCCCGCCTTGGAATCCAGTTGCTTAGGGCATCTGCCAAGTTGATCTGGGAGAATGTCTATCACACCGCCCTTGAGAACCCTAACAAACACAGATGTGACATCTGCTTTTAAATTTAAACTTTACATTTTAAAAACTCAGAGGAATTGAAGAAAGGGGAAACAAACACCCTCAGACCCATCACCTAAAGACAACCACTGCTAACATCTTGCTGTATTTATTGCCTTCCTTTTTTTTTAACGCACTTGTTTAAGGCACTTCCTAACAGCGTTTTTAATGACTACAAACTATTCCACCAAGAGGATGTCCCATAACCCGTGCTACCGTGTCGTTTCCTTTACTGTAGAAAATTTAGGGTATTTCTAATTGCTAACCATTGTAGATGGCAGGATGGTGAGCCTGTTTGCACATAATGGTTTATTTTATTTTACTACATTTAGAATCATTTTCTGTAGTGGATTCTCAAGAGTAGAAATACTGGCACAAAAGGGAATGTGCATTTTTATTTTTAATACATAGTAACAAATTGGGGACCCATTCGCTCTTCCTCCAGCAATTAATGCAAGTGGCTCACTTTGTACATCCGCACCAATGTAGAGCATTTTCATTTCAAATCACTTTTGTTCGTTGAGAAGTGAACAAAGGTGTCTCCTTTTTTGATATGCATCTCTTTGATTCCTAGTAAAGATGGGTGTTTTTCCATGCGGCATCTCCCTCTTTGGGAATTGTCTGTGAAAACTGCCATACTTGTGTGTTTCCAATCTTGCGTGCTTAGAGATGAAGTAGGGCAGTGTTTGTGTTGCGGAAATTTATGAGTCACCAGTCAAAATTCAGTTCAGCTCAACAAACACCTATTGTTATGTGCCGATCACAGTGCCCAGAGCTGCTGCAGAGCAGATTATGGCTCCGGGGACCGGGGCTTCTCTGCGGAATGACAAGGGCCAGAGCAGAGGAGGGGTGACCAAGAGAGGACAGTCTCTGGCCCGGACACCTCAGGGATACGACCGCCTCCCTCTCTGTGCTCTTCCACCCTGCCCTGCCCAACTCTTTGCTTTGCCCCTCACTGCCATGTCATCTTCCCACAATCCTCTGGCTCCCTCCCCTTCCCACGCCGCGTTATGGAAACTGCCATGTGCCACCTGTACTGGCTCTTGACTTTGACGGCAGTCACTCTCACTTTATTTCCCCAGTGACGCTGCTTGAGGGCACGGTTTTTGCATCTTTGCATCCCCTGAAAGCACTCAGCACACTACCTGGCACACAGCTGGCTTTCAGTAAATACATGTGGCCAGGTGAGTGGCTGAATGTAGAATCCATTGAGAGAACCGCCTCCAGAGCACGGTAGGGTGGTGGAGCAATGGGCCAATGACAACATGAAGATATGATGGTGCGTGTTTCCAGGGAACCAGGCTGCTGGTAAGCTGTGTGCCTTTCTCTTTCAGCTTGAGAGCGGGGGCGACATGGCCCACCTGAAAGATCTCACCACCCAGGCTGTGCGATTCGGGCTGCTCTTTACCCAGGTACTGAGAACTGGACCCAGACAAGGGGAAGAACTGTCCCCTCCTATGCTGGTTAAGGACCTTTGTATGGTGGGCGATCACATCTTACCTCCAGGAGGAAGGTCAGGGGAGACGAGGCAACCTTAGGTGTCTCCTCTGCATGCTCACCAGCTCCTGGAAATCGAATTCGCAAGATGGGGCCTGGGACAGGGCGTTCAGCAATCTGATGTGCCCATTCCAAATTTCCCCACTAGGATGACTGCAGTTCAGGAGGTCCCCAAGACCACCCTTGGGTTCAGAGTCTTCACTAAAAGGACTCTCAGAACTCAGCAAAACTGTTACAATTAATGGTTACAGTTTATTGCAGTGAAAGGACACAGATTAAAATCAGCAAAAGGAAGAGGTGCACAGGGCAGGGTCCAGGAAAGACCAGGCGCGAGCTTCCAGTTGTCCTCTCCCAGTGGAGTTATGCGGGCAGCGCTTACTTCTCCCAGCAGCCGTGTGTGGCAGCACTCAATCAGTATAGCCAACCAGGGAAGCTTGCCCGAGCCCCAGTGTCCGGGGTTTGTATTAGAGGGTGGTCACGTGGACATGGCTGACCACCTGCTTGGCTGATCTTAGTCTCCAGCCCCTCCAGAGATCAGGCTGCTACTGTGTGGCCCAAGACCCCACCCATTAATTACATTGTTAGCATAGACTATCTGAGGTGGCTTAAGATGCCCAGGTAAACAAAGACACTTTTATCAGGCAGGACATTCCAAGGGCTTAGAGGTTACCTACAAAACCTTCCTTTGGGTAAGGTTAATCCTTTAGTACACAGTGACCAACTGTCCTGATTTTCGCTAAACTGAGGGGTTTCTCTGGGATGTGGAAATTTCAGTTCTAAAACTAGGAAAGGCTTGGGCAAACTGGGATGAGTTGGTCACCCTATGTCCCACACACGGCAACAGCTGCCATCTGGCTCAACAAGAGGCTCCACTATGAGTCTGTGTTTAAGGTTGCAGGGATGAACCTATTCTGGGTGACTATTTTGGATGGCACTGTCATGGTTTGAATTATGTCCCCCCAAAAAATGTGTGTATCAATTTGCCTGGGCCATGATTCCCAGAATTGTGTGGTTGGCCTCCATTTTGTGATTGTAATTTTATGTTAAAGAGGATTAGGGTGGGATTGTAACACCACCTTTACCC